ATTAGATTAAAATGTATTAAGCTCTTAATTTTAGTCAAAAATTTCTCAGAACCTGATTTTCCTAGAAACACTCCTATTTGATTTAATAAATTTTAGGTTACTAATTATTCTTATTGAATAATAACTATTGTTTAATTAAAATAATAATATATATTTTAATTGAATAATATTAACTTGATAAATATAAAAAAATGATTTATTTTAATTTAATACGTCAAATTAATTATTTATATAAATTAAAATATTAAGAATTTAATATAACTAATAAAATATAAATTATAATATAATAATAATAAATATAAGAAATTAATAATTTTATTAAATAAATAACAACTTATAAATATAATGAATTTAAATAATATAAATAAAATATTAATTATGATTACTTTATCATATAAGTTAATTTCATCAACTTCATTAATTTTGTTAATTATTTTAAGTTACGTGACTATTTATAATAAAGTGTTATAATTTTAATGATTTGATCAAATTAGATTAAATTAGATTAGTTCAAATAAAATTTAAATCAGATCAGATTTTTGCTTGATCTGATTTATATATAAAGTCAAAATTAAAATCTAAAAGTTAAAATATTTTAACTTAACATTAAAGATCATAGTTGAAATTAAAAATTGAAATACATTATAATAATTAAAATATATTATGATAGTTGAAATGTATATAATGGTCAAAATATATTATAATGGTTGAAATAAAATACATTATAATAGTTAAATTAAAAATACTTTTAAAAATTAATAAAAATAATTATTTATAGTATATATAAAATATATTTATTATTATTTTTTATTATGATGATTATTATTATTATTAATTATTTCTTAAACTATAGAACAGGCAAATTTACCTGCAAACATAAAAAAGTATTAATTTTTAATAAAAAATAAAATATTAATGTTAATAATATAATTATTATATAAAAAATATAGTTTAATATTTTTATCAAGTTTATTAAAAGAAATTTTAAATTTATTATGAAGTTTATTAAATAATTCAATTTTTAAAATTAAGTTATAAAAAATTTATTATAATAATTTTTTTAAAAATTTTCTTAAAATTCATATATTTGTGAATTAATTGAATCATTTTATTATTAATAAAAATTATAAAATATCTTAATAAATTATAAAATTATAATATTTAATGTTATTTTTATAATAAATATTATAATCTTCTATTATAATTAATATTACTAAAAGTAAATGTTAATAAGATAGTTAAAGGTTAATAATAAAATTTTTTAATTTATAATTTTTTAAAAAATTACAAATTTTTAGCATATAAATAATCTTAAATTATTTATTATGTAATTAAAAAATAAAATTTAATATAATATTATATATATTTATAAAATTAATTTAAAAAAACTTTTTTAGAAATTTTAATTTTTTATAAAAGTAAATCAGAAGAGAATTTATAGTAAATAAGTAAGCAAATTTGCATATAAATTTCTATAGTTTAAGAGATAATATTTATTTTAAAGGTTTACTTCTAAAAAAAAATAAAAAATAAAATAATAAAAAAATAAAAATGATCAGAAGGAAAAAAAGAAAATAAAAAATTAAAAAATCAAAAAAAAATAATTAAAAAAGTTAAAAAATAAAAAGATTAGAAAAATTAAAAAAGATTAAAATAGAAGAAAAAACAAAAAAATTAAAAAATTAAAAAAAATAAGAAAGAAAGAAAGAAAAAAATAAAAAATTAAATAAAAATAATTAAAAATAAACATGATATCTTATTATTTTAATTGAATGATTTTATTAATTTAATCTAAATTTTCAAGTTAAATAGGTTAGATTGAGTTAGAATAGATTATCTAAACTAACTTGACCTAAAAAAGTATCAAGTTAGATTAATTAGATAACTTAAATTAACTTGATCTATTCAAAAATTTATATTTTATTATCATATATATTTTAAATATATTAACTATCATAATGTATTTCAACTATCATAATATATTTTAACTATTAAATTAATTTCAACTATCATAATTAATTTCGATTTTTCAAATTTTTTAACAAATAGTTGAAATTGATTTCAACAATTTTGACTATCCAATATGGTCAAAATTAAATAATTTCAGTTTCATATATATCCTGATCTGGCTTTTTAAGTTAGGTATTTGATTTATATATCCTGACTTAATCTATTTAAAACTTTATATAAATCTTAAATTAATAATATTAGTTAGTATTAATAGTTACAAATTTACTTGTTAAAATACTTTTAATGATTTTTAATTATTAAAAAGATAAATTATAGATTAATTAAATCTATTTATACTATAACTAACATATTTTTTTTTGTTAAATAACTTAAGAATTTTAAATATTTATATAAAAATTTATATTTAAACTTTTATTTTAAAAATAAATAATTAATCCTTTTAATTTATTAACTTTTAAATTATTTATATTATTTCTATTTTTTAATATTTTTTTTTATTTTTAAATAAAGTTAAAAAAATAATATATAAAAAGATTTAATTCTTAAAATAATATATTATTTATATAGAAGTTAATTTAACTATAAATTAAATTTTCAAAATTGAAATTATCAATTATTTTTGTAATTTTTTTTCATATTTAAAATATTTTAAAATCTTAATATACTTATAATATAATCTAATATTTCTTTATTTAAAAATTATTTTAACTATTAGAATAATTTGTTTAATAGGTTTATTAATATTTTAAACATTTTAAAATATAAATTGCTAAAACTTTTTTAATTCAGAAAATTTTGGCTTTTTTTCTTTATTTAATTATATAAAAACTATTAAATTAAATTTAATTTAATTATTATAAATAGTATGTTTTCTTTTATATTAAAATTATTTTCTATTTTATTATATAATAATTATATATTTTTGATATAATACTTTCTTTTTCTAAAGGTAAATAAAACTTTTTTTTAATATTACATTATTATTTAACTGTTTTTTTTTTAATTTGTAAAACTAAATTTATATTATTAATAATCATTGGTTACTAATTTTTTATCTAGAATATTGTTTTTTTTTTAAATAGTTTCAGTAAATCAAGAGTTTATTATATTATGGATTTATTATTATATATAGAAGGATTTCTAGTCTGAGAAATTCTTGACTAAAATTAAGAGTTTAATTCATTTTAATCTAATAACATCAAAAACTAAAAAGTAATAAAAATCTTAATTTTGTTAAAAAAATTCCCAGTACCTGATTTTCCTAGCAATCAACCATTTAATATCTAAAAATTCTATTATTTTTTTATAAATAAAATTTATTAAATTTTTACAAATTCTAAATAACTTTAGAAATTTGATAATTTTTTTTAAAATTTAATTGAGTAATATTTTTTTAATAATAGTAATTTAATTCATTAAATTAAGATTTTTGTTTTTGTAAATTCAATATTTGTCATGAACTTGTCTAATTTTACAAAGTTCAAGAGCTATAAGTAATCAACTAAATAAGGTGTGTGATGAATTCTTTAAAATATTTTCTCTTGTTTTTCAGATCTGACTTTCATGTAATTCAATAATATTCATAAACTTGTTTGGCAGCTATTCTAACCAAAACGCTAATTATATAGAACCTATATTTTCCAATAAATTAGGAGAAATCAGTTGCCATAGCCTAAGCAACAATTTCATTTACTTGACTTTTAAATGAAAATTTTTCTGAAACTACTATAATAGTTGCTGATAGGACAACATTGAAGTTTTATAAGCGGACCAAAGGTTTGGGGTAATAATTTTATTGGTTCTAATATTTTTAAATTGTGAATTAAATCTTTAGAAAAAAAGTTTTTTTTTCTTGAGGTGAAATAAATAATTTTACATACCTATGACGATGATTTTTTTCACCAATCTTTGCCATGTGTTCTGCAATTGCACTATTATTTTCACAATTCTCTATGCTGGAATTTCCAAATATTTGGGCCGCAAAAGGTGAGTTTGTTATTCCTTGAGTTTCCGATAGGAGGTCGTAGTATCTAAAACAATTAATAACAAAAAAGATTTACTTGAATTATGAACGAGTTAATAAAATTAAATTTACCGATTGAGTTAGTGTGATCCTTAGAGAGGCCCTATAAATACTTAATTCAATAATTCAATAAATTGTTTTCATAGCAAAAATGACTTATTTTGCTGCAAAATAAATAAATAAATATAAACGATATCTTACATAACGGGATTTAATTCATGCCAAGCTGATAAACAGCAAGTACTTACTATCACCAAAGAAATATGCTTGTTGAAATACAGTTTTTTCAATGTCCAACAATGCTTTGACATCGGTCATTTTATTAAGAGAAATGTAATTTTAATTCAACTAAAATCGATAAAGATTTTATTTATAGGTACTTACCGGAATAATCAGTGGTTTGATAAATTGACATTTGTCGATAATATAGAACCTTCTGCGGCTTGAAGAGAAAATGTGAAACTAAACGGTTATTTTTTTCTCCCCACTTCCTGTATTAACGAAAATGTTATTATTCAAATTATAAACATATCAGGATGACAAACTTAATTTATACAGTTGCCCTTTTATTTGCAGAAAATGGTAGTAGCTTACAATTCCTTTACTATGAAAACGACATTTTAGTAAGATAAGTTATAATATCACTTGTCTTAATGAGGAATTTGTCACTGAATTTTGCGTTGTTGTTTATGCGTCAGGAGTTCATGCTGCTGTAACAAATTGATTTTCACCCCCCCCCCCCCCCGCGAAGGTCACCAACATTATGCTTTAAGATTGAAGAATTAAATTTTAGCTTTGGAAAAATCATGAATTAAAATATCGATACATTACTTTTAATAAATATTATCAAAATTTAAAAGTTTCACAATAAATAAATGGAGAACTTTTTTTGGAAGAATCATTCCATATTTAGAAGCAAATCAAGATTTTTTGAACAAGATAACCTTTTCGGGATTATTGAGATGTCACAATTTAAAATCATCAATGGTAATAAATTACGATCAATATCATACAAGTTTTAACGGATAATTTTCAAAGCATTAATTAACTTTGCATGAGAGATATAACCTGTAATAGATTCACCTTTTATTTATTGGTAAAAAACACATCGAAATCAAAATCAACGAATCTCAACCATCAATTATTTGGATACCTCCATCAACCCACTTGACGTTAAATTTAAGTTCACTTTGAAAATTTTTTTTTTTTAAAATCGTGATAAGGTTTATCCTATATATAGAAAATTTTTTAAAAATAAAAATTTAAATAAATAGAAATTTTTTTAAATGAGATTTATGTTCAAATGTTATTGAAAAACATTTAACTACAAATTTTCATGCAGGAGAGACTTGTGGGATCGACGAGGATTCTAACCAAAATTCGAAATCCCGATTCATTATCTTACACTGAAACTCATTTATGACAAATGATTTCCAATTTGGGAGACTGGAAAAAAAATAAAAAAAAAAAAATATTGGGAGAAAAAAAAAAAATAAATAAATAAATATCATTATTTGAAACTTTTTTTCGGCGCAGTAAGCAAGGTATAAATATTTGTTATGAAATGCTTGTAAACAAGTTTAATTGTTAAAATAATATACATTTGAGATAATTTTGTTATTTGACCTTCGAACATATTAAATTATTTTTTTTACAATAAAAGTCAAATTCTAAATTAATATTCAGATCGTTTGATGACATTCGGAGGGAAACGTATAATGTTATGGGAAGGTCAAACGAATAAGTTTATATATACATATTTTAATTACATTTTATACTTTTAATAATAATACTCCTACAATTAAAATTACACCGAATAAAACATTAATATCAAACGGGAGAGATCGTATCCGAAGAATTATAGTAATTCCGATTATGGTTGATTAATGGATCAGTTGAATGGATAGGACTTGGTGGAGTCACCACGCTAGAATAACGACTATCATCATCACACTCATAAATCGTCGAGTGTTCTATATAACTTACTCGCATTGACTTTGTAGCTGAAGTGATTGACATGGGTTCCATATCGGTTGTGATACTTTCGGACGTAAAGAACGAATTCCGCGTATTTATAAGGTAAGTAGTCGTTGGTGGTGAGGCCGTGGTGATGGATCGACGAATTTTGGGTACCATGGATATCACAGGTTTAACGGATACAAGATTACGAGTGATACTATAAATTATCGCATTTGCTAATCCTGCGCTCGTAAAGATACTTGCCGCTGGAATTAAACTATATATAGGGAGAGAATTCATTAGATCAATTTATTCACCAATTTATTTATTTATTTTATTATTTTCTTTTTTTTGAAACAAAAGGGAAACTTTATTAAATTGTGCTTACTAGTAAGAGGACCAAATATTTGAATTTTGAAAAGCAAGACCAACGATACGTTCTGTAAGAAGATTGGCAACGCGTGGTTAGAGGTAATTACATCGTGTGGCCAAAGATCGAAAATAAGTACTTACGAAGGGCTAACGGAAATACGAGAACGATATAGACGGCGGGATACCATACAAGCTTCTTATTCACTCTCTGTAAAACCCTCTTGGATCCTCTCGTTGCCATTGTTTGACGTTTGTACAGAATCACAAACATGATGGTATAGATGACGCTCATGGCCGCGGCATTGAATAAGATAATTCCGTAATGAAAACCAATTCGATATTCTTGAAAATATTTATCAATCCAACACCAACTACCACCCGCGCTACCATAAAACCTTTTTCCGTTATCGGTACCAAGTTGAATGGCGAAACCTAAAGCCGATATTAAGATATTGAACGGCCATATGGTTATCATGGACAGGAATACTATATGTGGATATTCATAAGAATGGACCACGCGCATGTAAGTATGCACGCATATTACGAATGCCCAAAATCCCGAGGCAACGTCTCCTAAATTGATGAGGAACCCTTGTATATCGCAATAAATTCCTGGTTCTATTATCCCTTTAATGGCCCAATTGTAGCTTAACATGAACCCGATTGATTGTATAAAATCGGATAAAAATAGATTCAAGACTAATCTTGTAACCACGGTATGTAGTGAAGAATTATTTTGGCTTATTATACACAAAAATACCACGAAAACTGCTAAATTACTAATCGTACTGGTTATTAATATTGCTATCGTCCCTCTCAGATTAAATTCGGTTACGTCATCCATATTTTTAATTATACGTTGTTTATAAAATGTAATCGTTTTTTTTTTTATTTTTAAAAGATTTTCTTTTCTTTGTTTTTTTAATTGAAAAAAAAAATTTTTTTTTTTTAATTATTGTTTAAGTTGTTGATATTTATATTAATTCATTTTATATATAATATTACAAGTATAAATAAAATAACCGGTCTTAATCATAATTTCGTTTATTACCTAGTTCAAATGGTTGAACAAAAAGTAAATAAAGGAATTATGTATGAATTAAATGGATAATGACAACTAAAAAATTATGTTTTGTACTTAACAACTAAACAATATTAATAGGGATGAGCGCAATTAATACCTTTTTTTGATATTAAATAATTCATTGTACAATTATAAAAAGTTAAAATGAAAATTCTTTTTTTTTTCTTTTTTTCTTGGATACTGTGTTAAGTTTAGTAATAATAATATTTTTATTTATTTCGGAGTGGACCAAAATTATTAATTCATTAAATTTAGGGACTTAATTATTAACGGACACTATATATATACACAAGTTTCCTTACAAATCAAGTTTGCGTAAGTAAACAAATTCCCTTCGAAATATTTTTTTTCCTAGTCGCACAAAATTAAAATGACATTTACACACTCTTATACTACTTACTGTTTTTATTTATTCAAGGATGTAACGCGTCGATCCTTTAGACCATAAAACAATATTTATTAAGAACAATAATAACTCCTAAAATTAGTTTATCGTATTCAAAATCCCAAAATAGAAAAAACATATGGAAAGATTTTAGAAATCAGTTTCTGTGGAAAATTTCGATATTTTTACTATTTTTGATGTGATTTTATTTGATTAAAATGCAATAAAATATGTAATAGATTCAAAAATAAAATGTTTGTATTTACTGGTTGGTGAGAGGAAACCAATATACTTTTGGAATGTATATAAATTATGAGTTGCTTTTTCTTTACTATATTATTTAAATCAGCTAAATAAATACTTAAAATTGGTTTTAAGGTATAGTAATTGTAAAATCGAGATCTTTTACTTTTTGTCCGATGACCATATACTTCTAATGTCGTTGCCTGATCAACGAATGAAATTTGTGGATTTGTTTTTTACCTAATTTGTGTTACGTACGGTTTCCTTTCCCTAATAGTTAGCAATTAATTATACTATCGCTATTGAAATATATATCTTAAAACAGGCTTGCTACATTAACTACATTAAATTTGTTTTGTTATTTTATGATTAAAGTCTGATTTTGGATTTTAGGACCGAGTCTCTATTTTTAGAACTTAATTAGCATCGAGTTTTAATGTTAATTTAGCAACATTGAATTTTATAATCATTATATAAACACAAACTAATGTTGTACAATCTATGATCTTTTTGATATAAATGTTCTAAATGTTCAAAAATATAATAAAATACATAAGCGTTAATAATGTCATAATATTCAGAAGAAAACTCAATTAATAATGTTTATAAAAATGAAATAAGAAATATCACGTTCGCATCAAATATTTTTGCTTATAATAATAGTGTGTTTAGTTTCCCTGTTTCATTTTTTTATTAAAAAGTTCATGCTTGTGAAATGCAAAACTATTCTTTTTATTAATCTTAATTTTGAAGTTAGTTTGAATACTTCAATAATACAAAATTTATAAAATTAAGTCATTAAGTTATATAATTCTGATAAATCTTAATTTTTTTTGGATTATGATTTTTATGATTTTCGAGAAAGTATACAATTTTGAATCGGACTATGATTATAAATAAGATAAGCAAATTCAAAATATATCAGATATTTTCAATGAAAAAGATAATTATGATGATAATAAAAACTCATTTTGCCGAATTTCACTAACATAAAAGTAATCTAATAATTAAACATTTAAACATCCAGACCGTTTAGTTTGTTGCAAATGTCAAATGGTTTTAGAAAAGAAATATCCAGTAAATTATTCTAACAATTCATTAGTAAAAAAATAATATTTTTATAATAAACTATATATATATAAGAAATTAGAAGATTTATTTGAGTGATATCTGAAAGTTTGCTAATGTAACATAATAATGCTTATGAAGGTTTCTAATACTAACGCAAAGTATTTATTTATAGATTATATAATTAATAAGTAAAGTATTCTTAAG